GCTAGTCTACACATACTCCTACATTATTTCACTCCAAGTTCCTTTTTTTTATACCTTCACATTCCCCGTGGAACACAGGAGGCTTCAACCTACAGCTTTGTTAGCAGTGATGTTTACTTTTCCTGGTTGAGATTGCTATCCGTATGCCTAACCTTCTCTTTCAAACCAGTCTTATTCTCTGCTGCTTAGCGAGGTTTACGAAGGCGTGTCAGTCGGGGAATCGAACTCTAGACCATATATGCATGGGGCTGGCGTGGCATGGCTGTCTCTAAGTCATGGACGTACACTTTTCTACATGGTGACTAGCCTCATGGACTACTTACTACTTGTGTTAGGTCTTGATTTCACCAAATGCCTGCCTAGAATACATTTTCCATGAATTAGGCTTTAAACAGACTACACAACGATGATGATACTACCCTGTTGTCCCAGGCTAGAAACAGTTGGAGCGGAATTTTAAACAGAAATGTTACATTGATTGAAAGTTGACTGTTTCACACTTCAATGAACAATATCTACACACTCTTAACTACTAACTAGTACATAAACATAAAAACATACACATACATACACACACACACGGTGTCTAAAAATAGCACTCCACATACGAAATACATATTTATATAAATATATATTATATATAGCAAAGTTATATTTTACAGCATAAAGGTCGATTACATTACTACTGAAATTACTTTGACGTATACCTGTAATGTAACAAAACAAAATCGAGTGTGTAGTTTTGTTTATGTTTAACTCTACCTCGATGTATTACTATTACAACTATTGATTTTATTATGAAGTGTTCATTTGCAAGGATTTTATTGGTTACAGCAGCTTTATTCACAAGCTGATATCAGTTAGGAAGATTCATTTGACGAAACAACCAAGGAGTACTGGACAGCTAGCTCTGTTTCACCCTGGTTCGAAACTCTACAGCAGGACGTGCCCACCAGGACTCGAACCAACCACCTTCTTCTGGTTACAAGGTGAATTGTCGGATTTCCGAACATCACCCTACGTGGTTAAGTAAAGGACAAACAAATTCTATTCGTAGCATTATTCTATCTCATCTTGTGGACGCAGAACACAAGACTGATGTTAACCAGGCTTTCAGAGTCATTTACCGCATATCAACAAATCTTAGTTTCGCCTTAAGAGTTCTATTACCAAACATTGCTGACGTTGTTGGGATCGACATTAAGCAGCCTAATTTAAGTGTTCAAAAGAAGCTAGTTCAAATCCCGGCAAATTCGTGGGTGAGAACTACTAAATATTCCTAAACAAGAATAAGACAAACAGTTGTTCAGTGTCCTACAGAATGTGCGTACGTTCAATTACTACCCGATGCTTTCCTAAAACCTCGATTCATTTACCACTGATGATGATGAAAAGCCAGGAAGACGAATTGGTAGACTGATAGCTGAGACTAGCAACCCAATCTAGTTAAAAAGAAACAACACAACTTTGAAGCCGTATCGTCGACTCGGGACGGACAAAAGAACGACAGTAGCGAAAAGTATCATTAACAAATTTTCAATGATTTTCAGGTGTTAGTTCGTAGGGATTTGATTTGTTTTAAGTTTGATCATGGACTGATAATCTCAGTTGGAGAAACAGTAAAAACCATCAGGGATTATTCGGAAGCTGTTTCATCCTAGTTTTGGACTCTTCATCAGCAAATTAACATCACAAATTGGTAGAAATCGGAATTATTCAATCATTAACTGAATGGCCTACAAGATCGAATCTCAGAGGGTGCATACTGCTGTGAAGGGTACTATCACACTAATAAAAAAAAACAGTTGTCCAACATTCCCTACTGGTTTTCAATGCTTGTTTAACTGATCCCATCAAATCTATGATCAAACATGAAATTTGTCATTTTCATATTCGGCTTTAATTCAACGTCATGTTGAAAGATGACAAGTCAAAGCTTGTTATGTATACAACTTTAATAAACAAAGCTTGAGACTGAGCACTTCGGTCCAATCAATCGACGGGAAAAGCAAAAATTCAATTAAATAATTAATATGACCCGCTGCACAAGAGGTGGCTCTCGTGGCCCAAGTGGTCGAGTAGATAGCGCATTGGCGTTCGAAATTATGGACACTGGGTTCGAGCCTCAGTGGAAACATTACCACTCACTGAGAAATGCAGGTACATCCAGTGGCTGACGAGTCCCAAAGAGGATGAAATGCGCATCCTGGATTCCACTGCTAGTCACCATCCACCAATTAAATACTAACTAAATGCTCAGACATCGTTGAAGCATCTGCACAAGATGCCGACATGTCAATCTGAGACCGAGCACTTCGATCCAATCAATCGACGGGAAAATCAAAGATTCAAATAAAGCGTACAACATTGCTATTCTCCTCCTGTGTGAAGTCAGTTCACAATCAAGCGACAAAATATCATCATCATCCAACCTATTATGGTTACACAAGAAATTTCTGGCTACTAATAATAGCAACGGATGGTGACTGCCTTACTAGTTAGTATCATTGTATGTGCACATACATATCCCCCTAGCAGCCGCCGCCGCGCACACCGGCAAATACACACAAACGAAGAAACAAAGCATTAAAGAATTTCAACTATGACTGAATATTTGCACAAAAATAGTTTCTCAGATGCTCTATTGCGTGTATAAAAAGGAGAAGAAAGAACATAAAATAAACATACAGCTTGTCAGATAATGAATAAATATTAGAACAAGGAATTTTTGCAAAATGGATTCAAAAATAACAAATACACAAACAACAAAAAGTTGCAAAACACAATATACACAAAGAATTCGCCCATCTCTCTCTCTCAAATACACAGGAAAACGATGATGATATAACCGGTGAAGAATTTCTCTACGGGCTTGGCAAAGACACGGGGTAAAGCTTCTTCATGGAGTTATGTTGTGTGTGTGTGTGTATGTGCATATAAGTAATATGTTCAAACACGTACGTACATAAGTCAAGCATGTTTTGATTGGACACTAAAAAGTAACTAATGGCATACACCAACGAAGGATTAGATAGATGGATTGGAATAAGAGAAGACGAGAGACTCAGCGCCGGAATTAGTTAGTCAGGAAAAACGCACCACATATATGTATACATTTTTAGCCACATTATATGGTCGACTAGATCAGTGGATATTTGTGCATTGAAGTTTTTTAGCGATTTGGTTAAGAGTGCTTATTATCACCAATGATATTCCTAATTGTGGATTGTGATGGACTGGATTATGCATCAGACAGTGAGTGGAAAACAAGAAGACAGAGATATCCTGTCTGGACCGACCGACGTGAAGAACCCAGTAGACCTGGATTCCGCGCACCGATGATTTATGTTTCATGCCACACAAAATCGAACACTTACAAGCGAAAACCGACAAACTGATCGAAGAAGCAGTCGGCGAAGACAGGACTCCAGGTGAACATAGACAAGACGGAGGTTATGAAAATAACCAACCAACCAACAACAACCACAGCACCAACATCCAGCGCCAATCACCATCAACGGGAGGGGTTTGAAAGAGGTTAATTCATTCACTTATCTAGTTAGGGAACATTGTCCCAACCAACTACAGGGGGAACGGACGAGGATGTCAAATCGAGCGAGAATCGGGAAGGCGAGCGAGAAACACATTCATCAACCTGAAACAACCAATCTGGAAATCTTCCTCACTCAGCCACCATCAACAACAAAATTCGGTCGGATTTTCAATACAAACGTCAAGTCAGTCAGCTCTTCTATACGGATCAGAAACTTGGCGGGCGGGTCACAAAGAATATTTACAACAGCCTGCTGCAGACTTTCATCAACCGACAACTGTCCTCGCTGAAGATCAGATGACTGGGCCGGAAAGAATCACCAAGATGGAACTATGGGAACAAATAAACAAAACAAGAAACAACAATTGCAAACCAACAAATATGCAGTAGATGGAGTGGAGATTGATTGGACACTCGCTGAGGAGGCCGCCGACACCGCGCGTCAGGCCACTGATCGAGTGAAACCAGGCCGAAAGGGAAGCACGCGGCGAGTGTGACGTCAGTGCCAGGGTGACATGGAGGAGATCGTGAGGAGTTGAAACAGTATGGACTAACATGGATGGATGGATGGAGGTGAAAAGTACAGCAGAAGACAGAAGTGGCAAGTGGAGACGTGCATTTGAAGCCCTATGTTCCACTAGGAACCCAAAGGAAGAAGAATAGTAATAATAACAGATCAGTGGATAATAAACTAGACTGATTGACTGCTGACTTTCTAACGGTTAAGCCTTGGGAGTATTTCTTTACCACAACGTAAGAAAATAAACGCTTCTACTTCTGCAGCTATTGTGTCTTAAAATGTTGTTTTCAATTTCGGTTCTACATTTTTTATATACTATTGATAAATTTTTTCTGTAGCACACGCCACCGCAAAGTGTATGCAGCAATAGGAAGTTAGTCGCACGAAGCACGAATAGCTCACAATGGTAACATCGCTGACTGCAACTGCACTGGGGGAGATCAAAATTCGAATTTCTTAGAAGGGACATACATACAACATGTGAGCTGCTTCGAGATTGTATAATATACACACACCTTGCTGATTGGTTAATGCCAAATAGTACGAAAACTAGGTCAGATAAGGCTTCGCGTGTGGTCGGATCGCCAGTCTATCTAACTACCTAACGCATAAAAGAACCATTAACACAAAACAAACAACCCAAGATGTATTAAACAAGTATATTTTCCACTTTACTGCCACAGCATATGAACGGGAGACGCATAAGTCTAGGAAGTGAGTCAAGGGGTACTTTAACGACCAAACAACAGTCTCCAGTTTACATTATCTTCGATACTACAAAGTCATCCATGAGTAATACCACACTTTTTGTCTTACTTTTCGATAGTTGCAGCGATCTTTGAAGTTTGTCAGATGTCGCATAATAGTAAACATAATAAATAATAATAATAATGGCAATGACAATAATAACAATAATACTAGACTTACATTTGATATACAATGAGAGAGCAAGGGAAATGAAAGCGGCAACAATCAATACAATTAGTGTTAAATCTTGTAAAGCTTCCCACATAAGTCGTAGAAATGTTTTAGCACGTTGTTGTGGTATAACATTAGCACCGAATGCATTAATTCGTTTAGAAAAATCATCTTCATGTAAACCTAGAGAAGAAGAAGAAAAGAAAACAAGGGGATATTTATTACCTTGTGAATATAAGTATTGGTATACACACTATGATTAATATTAATAATATTCCCTTAGGATTTGAGTAGAACATAGACGAGCTACATGAGAACATCCTGCATCTCATTCTATTTATTCTTTGTAGTCCTGTTCGGTTGACTCCATTCACATTTCCTCAGAATACCATTTCCTCTCCATATTGGAGTAGATTGGATAATGCGACAGACAGCAGGCAGGGCAACGAGGAAACAGGTATACAATGGACCTATACAAAAAGAAACTTCGAGGATCTGGACTTCGCCGATGACATATATGTGTCTGATTTCACACAAACTGGAAGATATGCAAGTGGAAAGCAACCAGTTGGCAATAGAAGAAGCATCTAGAGAAGATAGGACTCCAAGTAGACATAAAGAAAACTGAGGTGATGAAGATTCCTGGGCAAGACAAACAATAATAATAATAATAACAACAACAGACAACAATCAGCATAAATAGGAACCTGAAAGAAAGAACCTCTTTTATCTACCAACCTACTGCGAAAGCATCGTTTTAACTCCAGGTGAATGGAACTGACAAGGATATCAAAACAAGGATCGGGAAAGCAAGGCAAGCTTTCACTACTCTCAAGATCAGGATTTTCAACCCCAATGTGAAGTCAGCGCTACTTACTATACGTATCAGACACTTGGAGCCGTGTCACGAAGACTTCTTCGAACAAACTCATTAACAGCTGTCTTCGCTCAATACTACTCAAGATCAGATGGCTGGCCAGAAAAGATCAGCAACAGGGATCTCTGGAAGCGAGCCAACCCAGCAGGAACCTATTGAACAACAAATAAGCAGGTAGAAATGGAGGTGGATTGGCCATACGCTGAGGAAACCATCAAGTGACATCACTAGACAAGCCCTCAAGTGGAACCCGAAAAGGAAGCGGCGAGTTGGTCGTCAGTGTAAGGGTGACTTGGGGGAGGTCATGTGAAGGAGAAACGAAAGCATGTGGGCAGACTTGGAGCGGGGTGAAAACGTTGGCAGAGAACAGAACGCAATGGAGACGCGCGGCTGAAGCCTTATGTTCCTCGATGAATTAAAGGAAATAATAATCATAATAATCACATCTCAGATCCAAACCAAACTCGTTGCTTCTCATTCAAGTTTCACTCGACAGTCTGTTTAATGTGTAATATCACTCAAGTGTCTCCTACCAATCCATCCCCATTTTCTTCTGCACATTTGTTGGGCAATAGATTCTTGCTTGGTTCGTTGTAAGAGTTTGTTCTTCGTTGTTTATGCTTTTTCAGATCATGGAAAACACTCATAAGAACATTAGGAAGAAGAGAACAGTAAGTTCAGCAAAGACAATTGTCTTTTCGGAGATTTCATTTTCAAAAGTAGCTGTACAAACGCATTTAAATACATAATTTTACATGGATACAATTCTTGTTTGATTCCACATAATTACGGTGGTGAATAAAAGGTGAACATTATTTTCAACTAGATATGGTTTAGCGTCGGTGGCACAGTGGTTGGGACGCTCACCGACCATGCACATGGTCCGTGGTTCGATCCCCGGGCAACAACGCACTCCTTTACCTCACTAAGCCAGTAAGTAGTGAGACTGGTAAAGCGGAAAGGTTGGGCATGAGGCTAGCAGCTCCATCCTGTAAAAATAAACACTGCTACAAAAACTTCAAACCTCTAGCTTGAAGCCCTATGTTTCACTGGAAACGTGAAGGAAAAAAAATGAGAAAGGTTTGTAAAATCAAGCATCCAGCTAAGAGAAGAACACACAACTACATCACAATACACACATATTATAGTACGCAGTAAGTGAAGTAAATGCAGGCTCATCCATCAGTTGCATTGCGTTATTTTTCAAGAGATGTTGTTGACCAAGCATTAGAATCCATGATGAACACATCATCTTAACTATCCCCGACTTTTCAGCTGGAGAAAAATGCAAATCCCTACGATTCCACAGTGCTAGTCATCATTATTCCAAAAATGCATAAATGCTAATCCTTAAAATAAAGTGGAAGCCTCCGGCATAGGGAGCCGATGACTTCTCAACACTCAGGCTGAATATTTCTGTCTAATTACCTCCAAAACTATATTTGTATTATACCCACAAAGAAATGAAGTGGGACTGAATGAGTTATGAAGGTGCAAATGAACAGTATGCAACAAGCAAGGCCTGCATTAAGTACAAACATCATAATATAAGAAATTTAATTTAATTTTATAATTTTGGTTATAGCTTGAAACCACATAGTAGTTTTGGTACAGGTATGGAATTTTCAGCATGTGATATATAGGTAGTCAAAATTTTGCATGCCAAACATTGATAGCAGAAGTGCATCGGCAGGGGATCGAATGCCGGACCATTTTCACAATCGTCGAGAGTCCTAACCTCTGTGGCACCGACGCACTTTCGAGAAAAACACGTATAACAAAAGTATGTTTGTAGTGGTAGTAATAGTACAGCTTATTGGCTTTTTATAGTTAAAGGATTTGAACCATGAACCAAGAAAATCTAACTCACATACTCGAGGTAGTGTCAAAAGTCATCATACACACATACACAAACTTCAAATGGGAGATAGAGAGCAGTAAAAGAAGAAACATATGAGTTCTGCCACCTGAACTGTATTACTTTATATATGTAGTATGTAGTAGATTTGGACATGCATCGGTAGCACAGAGGTTAGGACGCTCGCCGACTATACACATGGTCCGGGGTTCGATCCCCGACCACCGACGCACTCCTTTACCTCGCTACGTCAGTAATAAAAATGGGAAAGTGGGAAAGTTGGGTATGAGACTAGAAACCCAATCCTGTAAAAATTAACACTGCTACAGAAACTTCAAGCCACTAGCTTGATGCTGTATGTTCCACTGGGAACGTGAAGGAATAAAAAAAGGTAGATTTCGACACGAATTAACCCATTAGTCAGAAACCGTCAAATATACCAGGGAGCACTGGATAACTGTTCTCTCCTAGTTTGAGATCCTTCACTCGGCGCACCTATTAAACCACCACGTATGAAACTTGGGACCTGCGGAGTTCGGGACCATTTAGCCACTCAAGACAGGAGTTAATGACCAATGACTTTGTCGATTTGTGATACAGTGCTCCCCTCAACAACGCCTACAACGAGCATCCATTTCACCTTGACCAGTGGTGGCACTCCCACCGATCATCATGACTACTCAATAGAGACAGCTTGAGGATATCCATTCAGTAGCCATCAGTGACTTAGAGACGGATATTATTTAGATTATCGACAGCGATACATCACGAATATCATCATGAACTGAAATAGGTTAGATGACTGTTGGAAAACGATCTGGGAGTACTCGACAGCTGTTTTGTCAGCTTCGTTTGTCACTCTTCATCAGTACGCTGCGCACACCGCCACAGTTAGAACTCAGGACCATCTGATTACAAGCCTAGCAGGCTAGTATACCATTCAACCACTAGGACCCGATCCACTGGCAAGCCTATGAATTCCAACTCCTGCACTAACGAATGTCATCGGCGAGTATATGTCCTCACACCCGATCTGCTGCACTACCCCACTTGTCACTACTTTCCACTGGAACCCCCCTACTTGAATAGGGCCAGTCATAAGTGACCAACAGATTGATATTCAAGTGTAGGGTGAAGAGACTTAATTCCTTCCTGGTTTTTATCATAAAACCGATGTCAGTTCATGATAAAAATCCAGAAACCAACCAAATACTTGCAAACCATTCATTTGTAAGTTAGAAGAACTCACAGATTAAATAAATTCCAACCGGCTTAAGTGAATGAATGGTCAATAGGCTCGACCTCAAGACCTGAAGGTGCAAACGGATGAAGAGTGCCAAACTAGGACGAAACAAGTGTTGAATGCTCCTGTTTGATTTCCAATAATCTCCCCACAACTGATGAGTTGGTTCATCGCGTAATCTAACAAGTGAGCTTAAGCTAAATCCCTATATAAATAACTTCTATAATCTAAGTATTCATATTCACATGGAAATCAAATCAATCACCGACAGAAAGTGTCGATATTGTGTACACATATATGCAAAAAATTAAATGGAACGCTGATTATCATGTCATGTCAATCAAAAATGTTCAGTGTTTAGTAAAACGACATAAGATTAGTTAAAAAAAATAAAGTTCAAAAGTTTAAATTGTCATTTTTAACGCAACAACAACCAACAACAACAACAATACAGAAAAATACCTAATAAAAAAACATTCAATCATTACCATCTACAACCGATTTTATTATTATTATTATTTAGTATATATATATATATATATATATATGAATACAAATCACGCATAGAAGTTGAGCATAACTTTTTCTACTGCTCAAAGAATACCAATGATTTGACTGTTTCTATGCTAGTTAACTTATCAATCAGATTGTTACAAAATGTGAATACCTATTTTATCACTTAAATGTTAGTCTGGAGTCCTTTAAAAAACACAAATGCTCTTAAAGTGCATCTCTCCAAATGTTAAGCTGTGAATTTCGCGTTCGCTTGCACAATTCTACAATTATAGATGGCAAAGAAAGGTGAAATAATCTCGGTGACTTAGAATTATCTGTCTGTTACTGTCTATTTTCGAAATAGAACTTTGCACCCATGTGCACCAGTTCAAGTCGCTACACTCCACTCCATGTAGTACACATAGCAACAGAAGAAAGTACAAGAAAAGTATAATAGAGACACTAAACAGAGGTGTGACACAAAGGAATAGTAATAACGAAGAACAATATAGTTTCATTGGAACACAAGTCGAAAGGAATGGATGCATCTGCGCCAGCCACTGAGAACGATTTTGAGCCGGTCGTATCACTAATTGTTTCCAACCATTGGTTTTTACCGTCCCAAGGACCCCAACCAGGAAGTCTACACCTTCCTACATGGCTTAAACTAACTGTTATGGATTTCACTGACTGATGAAGCCGTGTTTTGG